GCAGAAGCTAGAGATTACAGGCTGTAAAGTTTTAAATATGGATATTTTTCTAACACAAATGCATCACTTTGGTTCAGAAGGCCTTTATTAACCCCTGGAGCCGTGTGGAGCACTTTTTATGATGGATGAATGCAATTTTGGGCTTCAAAATATGGACCTCCATTCACTGCCATTATAAAGCTGGAAGTGCCAGGACATTATTTAATATAACTCCAATTGGATTCATCTGAAAGAAGAAAGTCATACACACCTCGGATGGCTTGAGGGTGAGTAAATCAAAAAAAAAATTCATTTTTGGGTGAACTATCCCTTTAAGTGCAAGATGTGCTGTCATACATAACATTTTAATGAGAACAGGATTGTAAATTCTCTGTGCTTTAGTTGCCCGTTGTCAGCGCTCTGTTAAAGAAAGGGCGCATCCACAACGAGTTACACATCAGACTAGCGCGGTCACGTTCACGTGCGCATTCGCGTCCTTGCAGAAATGTTCACCATCCCACACTGCATACTGCTGTCAGAAACAGGCTGAATTCAGAGCAGCACACTAGCATGCTACGTCTGCAGTATTTTTATGTAGGGCTGCGTTCCACTTTGTTTTTTATGCCCTTCCCTCACTAACTTCCCTCAGTCTCGTTCACTCAGATGTACGTCATTGAGAAACAGTAAAGTGTCGTGTGCTCTCCTGAATGAGTGTGTAGTATGCAGTGTGCAGGGTGTTCATTCTGAACTGATCAGTGTCTCTCAGCCTCACTCATCAGCCAATAGGAGAGGAGAAGAGCTGCACATGTCCAAACTCAAAGCTGCTCTCACTCACAGCAGCCAGTTAAAGCGGCATGTTTGATTGGTTCTGTGGTGTGACAGTGAGGGAGACACTCTGAGATCCAAGATGGCTGACAGCTGCGTGCAGTTTCACTGCTGTAACATCTGCAGCACAGAAACTGAGTAATTGGGCTCTGCTGAGGTTTACAGCCAATCAATCCAGAACCGTTTGTTCTGTAGACACTCACACAAACACACTCTTTCATTTCCAGAAATATAAAACACATCAAACTCAACTGTGAGGGGAATCACATGTGATTTTTGTTGATATATATATATATTGTTTTCCAGTCTGAATAACGGCTCTCTCGTCACGTCTGTCGCAGATACACTGACCTTCCTATCAGACCGCAGCGACAGCAGATCACTTAACCAGACCTGCATTAACTGAGACTCTTTTATTTAAATCAGCATCTACTGTAGTAACATCCATTCAACAAGAACTATCATCATCTACAAGAAAACAGTTTAAAATCATTTCATTAAATACATAATTAAGAATTGAAACAATAGAGACCAGCGTTTCTTAAACTGCCCATCAGTAAAGTACTAGTTTATTAACACTAAACCCAACATATTTTCCTTTGACTTAATATTATTGGAAACCATTCAATATCAAATATCATTCTTAAAGTCATTTTAATAATCATAAATAATTACATATAAAGTGAATATATGAAAATTTATATATTTTCATATATATATATATCATATAATGTTGTATATAATAAATATACATAAACAGTCACTTCAATAATAATAATAACAACAGTTTCTAAATCACTGATATATCAATTTGAATT